TACAGGCAGATCATCTGCCAGTTTCTGGAAGAGTAGGCTTCACATAAAAAGTGCTCAATGCGTGCTGATGCAACAAATGAATGAAACTAGTCTGTGGACCATTCAACCTGTCAAGCCTCTACTTGAAGGAATTGCAAAGTAGCAGTTGATTTTTATATTCTAGCTAATCCTCAGTTTTATAGCCACCCTCAGTAATGGCATATACTCAAATCACAGAGGACTAGCTACAATTAATACACTGATTTGTTGCCTACAGAAATGTGTTGCTTCTTTTGTTGTGAAAATTATAAGGACCTAAGGCATCCATGAAAGGCAGGAGAAATGTTAATGTTTGCCTGCACCCTAAAGCAAAGAGTCAAATTACAATAGGAAAGTTTATCTTTTTAGATTGTGGTCACACAGAATATCCCCAGAGGAATGTAAATCGTATTCACTTTCTCCTTATTTTCAAGACTAAGTAAAAGATCTTATAAACTGTTCCTGTTTTTCCTTAGAATACTTAAAACTATGAATAAAGTCCTCTTTAACTAAGGTTTTCAAATTACATTTAATAGATGTTAAACTGTAGAATCATAACAGTGTTTTCTCATTTTTCCTTATTTAGGTATTATAAGTGGAATGATTAAAATATTTATACATTACCACCATTTATGAGTGACTTGGTGGCACAAAGTAAATTTGTTCAGGATTTTAAAGAAATGTAACATTCATTAATACCATGAAGTTAGGCTGAGGATATAGCTCAGTGGTAGAGTGCTTGCTTACCATGAGCAAGGCCCTGTGTTCCACCCCCAGTACTATAAACACTAGACACACACACACACACACATACATTTCATGATATACATAAATACATGGTCTGAAGAAAAACATAATTTAGGGATTATATCTACAATATGTACAATTTCATTAAAGTTAATTTGTCAGAGATTTGAAAGTCAAGACAACATTACAATTCTTTTAATATAGTTTACTCACTATAGGTGATTTCTTTATACCCTTTCTTCATATGTTCCTAGTTATTTCAGAGCATTTTCAATACATTTAATACACTTATTAGAAGACCAATAAACATCTTTTTATAAAAAATATGATATAAAATTTTTAAACCTTTCCCCTGTCTTAGTATACCCGAAAGGTATAACATACACTTGTCAGTAACTGTATACCATTATTATAAAAAAGTGTTACTTCTCAGACAATACCCTAAAACCTATCCTCAGAAACAGCATTAGGGCTCTGATGATTCAATTTTACTAAGGAACTGATGTTATTTGACCCAATTTAGAAATCTATCCTTTAAAATGAACTTATGCCTACAGTAATTTCAAAAAAAACATTGAATGTATGGCAACACATGAAAGCTATTAAACCATGACTCTTATTTCTTACTTAATACATTGATTGAGGGCTGGAGGTGTTGCCCACTGGTAAAGCACTTGCCTAGCATGTACAGACCCTGGGTTCAACACCTAGTGTTGAAAAAAAGTTATGCACTGTATAAATTTGTTCACTTGACTTTAAATCATTTGATTTCAAAATGTCGTGATCTTTACTTCTACCAAATTTAAATGACTTCAACTTATATGGAATATATTAACTCTAATAGCAAATGTTTATGGTCATATCTCTTTTGTCTTTTATTTACTGTTATGTCTTAATTATTGATTAAAAATACTTAAAAACATCAAAATAGACTGAATATTGCTATGGGCATATGCTATCCATTGATTTTCTCAGTTTCTCACTTTTTTTACAAAATAGCATCAAAAGTTTTCTAGTCAAAAGGAAATGTCAAGAGAAGTCAGGATTTTCTTTAAATAAATATAATTTTTATTCAGTTCTTGGCACAAGGCTGTTAAATGAATGATAAGCATTGGCATCTAAAGACTTAAAATATAATTGGAGCTTTGTCAATTTCGTATATGTTTAAATAAATTTTTGTTCAGTTACTTCCATTTTTGCTAAAGGCAAAATCCTCATACTTACTGTATACAAATCGTTGTTTTGAAGGTGTAAAATGAAGATGTGATCACATGAAAAAGAAAATAGGAAAATTTTTTCCCAAAGATAAATTTTTATAGGAAAACTGATAAAAGGAATTGATACTCATTTTTAGTGAGCACATGAAAAATGGAAGTGTTAGAAATTCAATGCCATTCATTTCCTCCTAGTACATACAAGAGGAAATGATATAATTATATTTAGAATTTCATAGTAGATTAATAAAAACTGCAAGATTAGCTTTCTCCAGTTATAGTCTGGTTGCAGTAAGAAACAACTCATATTTCTTAAACCTATGTAATTTTTAGGTGACTATTTCTGTTTCCTTATTTAGGAAATATTTAGCTCACTTCAAAGATCACAGAAATAAGCAAATCACATAAGAAAAGTTAAAATTTTAAGTAGAACTAGCTTACTTTTGACATAAAACATTCAGTTAGTACTTTTTCAAAATGAGAGCTGATCTTAGGTTAATGTGAATAGTTATTTATCCAGTCATAAACAAATTATTCCATTCTACTTATATATTTAACCCTCTGAGATAATAATCCAGATAATTAAATTACAATTTAGATTTTATATTACAAAATTTAGATTATATTAACTTAAGCATACTTTAGGAAAATATTTAACTCTCCAATGTACAGAAGTGAATAAGAAGGATTTATTATTTAAAAAGCTAGAAATAAAAACCTGTTCTCATTTTATCAACAAATAAAATGATTTTTTTCTTTTTGTGGTACTGCAGTTTTCTCTTGGGGCCTCATGCTTGCTAGGCAGCTGGGCTACACCACCTCAGCATGACCCCCCCCCTCCGTTTTGATTTGAATGGGTGTACACATAGTTGCTGCCTCTAGGACAGTGCTCAAAAGTGTCACGCAAGTTCTACACGAATAAACATTCTCCTTCGTATCCTTCTTTCATCAAGAGACGAAAGGGAAGATATTCCTTCTCTAAGAAATGTACAGCTGTGACAAGGTGATTCAAAACTTGGAGTGAACAGACGATTGTTCATTCCATATACACTGTGTACTGTTTGCTTTTTCTATGATATAAATAGAAAATGCCATACTAAATTTCCCATCTTTTCTCCCTAACAAGAGAGAAACACATAAGTTTTAATTTTCACTTTAAAATAATGCAATTTTTTTTGTTGTTGTTGTACTGGGTGTGGGTACATTGTAGCATTTACAAAGGTTCTTACAATGTATCAAATATATTGTACTTGAATTCACCCCCTCCACAGCTTCTTTCATTCCCCCTCCCATGATTCCTGGAACGGTTTCAACAGGTAACATTACAGAATGCAATTTTAATCCCAATAAATTTAATAAATATTATTCTTCTTTATTCTATTTTCTAAAAAATGTAGTCATTTAGCATTTGATTGCAAAGCAATATTATTTTCAGATAATTAATTACTTTGATCATTAGTAAGTACAATTTTTTGCACTCACTTTCAAAATCAACTAATTGCTCATTGAGATACAATTGGTAACATTCCATTTTGTGTCTAATAAATGAATAATTTAAAAAAAAACATTTGGTTTTGGATCTAAGGACTCTTGCATTTCTAATCTGTTGGCAAGAGAAAAGTCTAAGTCATATCTTGATACTTGGACAGTAATTCAGCCTTGCTGCTACTCCAACACTTCTTTGAACTACCCATCCACAAATTTTGTTTTTGCCTTGTTCCTTAGACCAAGTTTGAATCAATAATGAGATGAGCATATGGGTTTTTAAAGGATATATACCAATTTCTTTCTAATTCAATTTGACAACTTGGGTTGTGCTTCCTTTCAGGTCTTGAAATCAGTTCTATATGCAGGTTCTATGCTTGTGCCTGTCTCACTTGGAAATGGCTCATCTACTTTCTTGGACTGTTCTATAGTTCCCATTTCCAACCTACTCCATAGAGTGTTGCTGACCCACCTCTGGCCCTTGGCAAAGCTACCTTCTATGGTATCTTTACATAAATGACTTTCCACCTGGGTTACATGTGGCTAGTGTCACTAGATCTGTCTAGTCTCTGGGACTGTCTGCTTTATTAAATGAGTGGATTGACTAAACCTCCAGTTTTCTCCTGACCTACACATGGTTGTACTCAGTCCTGAACATGAGAATGGAATACAGAATAAAAACAGCATGTGCTTTTTATTCAAAATCTAGCATACCATTTCCTCCTCTGATTTGCTAACTTGAAAAGCACCTTATATTTAGTGTTGCAAGTACAAATTTATTGAAAGTAAGGTAAGATTGTGTGACCAGTTGTTGCTTGTCTTCCTGCCTTTTACATATCTCACTGATGTTAGTACATTTCCTCAAAGATGAAGAACAGCCTAAAGAATGCTAGTTTTCACTAGCCATGTTAAGCTATTTGATCATTTGTTGCTTATATAATTATACTAATACTTATATAAGTCATTTAATTCTATCCTAATGACAGAAGCTGCTTATGGAATGTAGTAAGCTTAAGCTTTAACCTGTGTTTATGGTGTCAAAATATTCAAATTATATGACAATTATGTGAATAGTGAATTTTAAATTCTGCCAAAGTAGTCAAATACATGTCCACCACTTTTCAATGTCAAAGCTAGAGTTAAAATTTCATGGGTATGTAAAAATTTTCATTCTTTTCTCTTGTCTGAAAGTAGAAAAAATTAATACTGAAGCAATATTCATTCTTTAACCACTTAGCCAATGAGTCTTAGACCCTTAGAGAAAGGAAATTCTTAAGGCTCCACTAAGTATCAGTGAAAATGAAGATGTATCCTCTAACAAAGTATCTTCTTTAGATATAAAACAGGAGCAGAAAGCTGCAATGCTGTCAGCTAACATTGTCTGACACACTTTGCCTAAATTGTGGGATTTCACACCACGGATGTCAGATAGCATCTGTATAGTTCTATAAAAATCCTTCAAAACTCTATAGGAACCCACAAATTCCACAATTGGCACGGTGGGGATATAACACGTTTTAGCTGAAGGTACTGTACCTCTGGTAGGATCTTTTTATTAAGAGGAACTAGAATGCGTTGTAAGTGCCACATACGGGGACTGGAATGATGTAAAAAAGAACAGCAGTAAGCGATCCATACTTGTAGCACTTTAAAAAAGAGATGAGATGATAAAGAGCTGGCATCATCGCAAGTTCTGTACAATCACTTTGGAGAGCCATCTCAAAGCTAACTAGCAAAGTTAATGAAAAAGTTTAGAGATTAAATAAAAATGGAATTAAATCAGAACAAAAATTATCAGAGGCTCAGAAAGGTTAGGGGGAAAAATTAAAGATGGAGTGAAAAAGTGTTAATGAGAAAATCTGTGACAACACATTTGTGGCCAAACACTGCTTTTATGTTTAGAACTTCATAATGTAACATAATGATCCAAAACACCAGCAAAAATAGCACAAGCTTAAGAGGAATGAAAACAATGAGAGAGAGAGCATTCCACTTGCTCAGGTTATCAGTCCCTTTCAACTGGTTTCCTCTGAAATACAGAGCCACTTCTCTTTCAAATGCTTTTGTCCACAGAGAGACATCTAAGATCTGCAGGGATTTTATATAGAATAGTATCAACCAAAGGTGTGGGATCTGCAAATTCCACATGTGCCTACAAACAGCAATTTAAATTTTAAGGTAATCAACAAGAATAGAGAGAAGAAAGGTAATATTACATATGTATGTGTTTTCATTATGTTTTATGATAATTATGTTAAAATTTCAATACTGTATTTCAAAATTGGGTAAAAAGTCCTTTGTAGCTGTCTTTGGAGACAAACTATTATTGGCCAGAGGGACTTAAGAGTAATTTTGGAATGATTTCATGACTGGGGCTCTCAGGAAGCAGAAGATGCTGTTGACAAAATGACTAGGACATGTGACATACAGAAAATTTATAGGCATGTATAATGCATCAACATGCATTTGACACATTGATCGAGAAGGTATATGTGATTGCTTTTAAAATCCTCAAATAATACTACATTATTACTTTCATATGATCCTTCTTATTTCCCACCTTAAAGTTTGGGCTTCTAAGGACACAAAAAATTTATTTTCTAGTCTTATATGCAGCATATTAACATGCTCTATAGAATATCATAAACTCTCAAGACTTTGAAAATTTGCTTTAATAAGAGAGAAAATAATAACCACTTGCAACCAATATAGAATATTTAGCAAGCAGAGCCTTGAAATGGCATAGAGGCTAAGGGGATTCAGGAATGACTCATAAGAAATGATCTGAAAACTAAACAGTAGGAGACTCTAATAATCAGAAAGAAGAACGACATGACAATGGGAGGCTTTGTGCGTGAAGCCCTCCATACAAAACCAGCTTGGGAAGAACATTCATTTTGATCTCTAGAAACAAAATTTGGAAATATAAAACTGGGGATCTCATTTAACATTTTGCAAGAAAAATAAAGAGACAAATCTGAGCCAACCTATTGAGAATGAAGAGAAAAAAATTGTTTAAGGAAAAAAAAAAGAAACAACAAAATTGAACTAAATATGGTGGCTACATCATTAAGTTCCTCTTTTCTGCTTCAGATTAGGAAGAAGAAAGAAGTGGATTGATTGTATCAGTATGAGGTCTTCTTGCAGGTCTAATCCAAATGTTTTCTTCTCTTTCCACTGATTTCAGTCTAATTCATGGGAGAATGCAAATTTAAATTATTTCTGTCTAAGCACAGCATCAATTATGTTTTTAAAGAAGTAAATGTTTATATAAAATAAGAAATTAAAATGATTTTATCCATATTATATAGAACCCTGAAAAGTTAGGCAATAAGGGAGTCTTAGCATAGAGATGTACAAGGGAACAGAACTATTAATTGTAAGGATACACAGATCAGATTCTTAAAAGTATCCTTTACGCTTGTTCATACAATGGGTGGTTATATGACTGAACAGAGTATAAAACAGAAATTTTAAAAAATGATTTAACAAATACTTGATTGAAAAGAATCAAGCAAATTTCAAAAAATTATTTTGTGTATCATGTTACCTGGCTTTAACCTTTCCTAATTTTTCCTTCAATTCTCTTAAATATATATCTGATATTTACACTATAAGGTATTGGTGTGTTTTTTTTTAAGTTCATATTCAACAAGCTAAAATTTAACAAGATTTGGGAAGATAATCATAAATTAGGTGAAAGAGACTGCCAGTTCTATTCACATAAATTTCGATAGTTATAAATGCATATTAATTAATTTAAAAAAACCTTAAGTATACTCTATCAACATTAAGAAAAAATTTCTTAGTTCCCTTATAAACATTATAGTTAGCTGTCTATTTTTCCTAAAATCTCCTCTGTTCTTTCCTCTTTAGGGTTCTAGGAGATTCACGGATTTTGTTCTTGTAGGTGTTATTTTGTAAAGTCAAGCAATTTCTACTTAACTGGTATGTCCAATTTGATTCTTCATAAAACAAGTACCTTACTTGTACTGAATGCTTACTTGATCTAATATAACAAGTCAGGGGCTTTATATACTAAATGTCTAAAACAGTTCTTAAGGAACTTGCTATTAATCTGGGATATCTGCAGATTAAGCATGCATGTATGCACCAACACACGTGTACATTGCACACACAGTGCACACCTAAACATGCAGTATAGTTCCAAATAATGGTATAAGGAGCAAGTCCTTTAGAACTATCAAGAAAAGTTTGGGTCCTGGCAGAAAAATTATTTGGGAACGTCTCTTGGGAAATAAGATCCATTTAGTAAAGAAAGGGAGAATTTATTTGAGGGAAGACAGAGAAGTAGGAGAAAAGGAAGGACAGAAAGGAAATAGTTTGAGGTAAAATAAATGCACTAGTTTTGCAAAACTTCATTCAGGGCACAGTAAAGGTAAAAATTGGAATGGAAGGGAAGTGTTAAATGCAGAGGGCAGAATATGGCTGATAATTTTCTAGCTCTTATTCTGCAAAAATAATTTGTAAGTACCAGCCTATCTCCATTCCATTTTTCTTATGTTTCAAAACATCTTCTCTAGTAACCTTAGGCATACCTTCATAGTCTATTATATAGACTTTTACTATTATGGAGTTGAATAAAAGTCTAAATAAACAAAAAGTTTCATTTGAGTCCATCTTCTTCTAGCCACTATTTCTTTATGAGCTTTTAGAGTGGCTATGATTTTTCCTCATTTTTCTCTTTGTCTTCAGAATAGTCAGTCAGTTGTCTTCCTCTAGTATTCTTTTTATAGCTCTTATATGAATTCCTTGTTTTCCACTCCTAGTCATGTATGTAAGCCAAATACTACATATATCCTGCGAGAATTAATCTTCTTCCTGCACTCACAATTCCAGAATATGCTGTTATAGCAAACTTCCACTAAGTCATGGTTATTCAGAGCAATTTCAAATGATCATAGCGCTGATTGTATCAAACTCCATATTGACTAAAACAGAAACAAGGCTTATGTTTAAATCACTAAGCAATCTTGTCTACTCTTAGAGATTCCAAATTCTGTTTTCTTTCACATATTTTAAATTCCTGTCAATCCTAATTCTTCATTTTCTAGGAACATACCATAGGTTTCTGCTTGTATGTTGGTATGGTTCTATTTGAATTGTCCATAGACTACATACTCAGATGATAGTTTCTTGCTATTATGCTTCCTCTCTCTTATGGTTTCATTTTTATTGATCTGTTTCATTCATTATAAGAAGGGGCAAGAGGAAAAGAAAAGGATTGTCTGGGAAACTAACCACAAGTTTTGGGAGTATATAAAAAAAGTACTGAAATACAAATGCAAAAAATGTTCTTTTGTTACCTAAAGTCTCACTGAAAACAACCATGAAGTATTATAAGAAGTAACACAAATCAGTACCTATGTACAAAGCAAGAGAGATACAGGAACAATTGTTATGTTCCAAATATTCATTTCATTTCCAAAGATCTTATGAGGTAGGTATTATTATTTACCTCATTTTCAACTGACAAGACTGAAGAGAGAAATGTTAAGTAACTTGCTCATTCTCACTCTGCTATTAAGTGCTGAATCTGGGAATGGAATGCTGACAATCGATCCTATACACAACTCACTCACTGACACCATGGGCCCTATTGCCTTTTGTTTACAAATGTATCAGCTTAACTAACCCCTCTGAAACAAATGCATGACATCACTTCAGGACATAAAAATATGCTTTTTTAAATGGCTCCTAATTTTTTTCACTTCTGTTAATTTCCAAAGTACTTTGAACTACATTCAGTTATAGGCAAGAAAATTTTAATTGAGAGAATTAGGTCAATATTTTTTTCTTTGCTTCCTAATGCACACTAAATGGCTTAAGATTCTTTAGTACAAGCTTCTTAAAACTATAAAGATGAAGATACAAAATACTGAGGTAACATTCCATCAGAGTTTGACACCTAATATATGAAAAGTTAATGGTAACAGCAGAAGCAGAAACAGAGTCAAAGAATGAGTGTTGACTCAGCATTTTGCAAATAATTAAAATTTTTATTTTAATTTATATTACTTAGGAAAAGACAAGATTTAGGATTCCTCTAATTTTTATCTTTTCTGAAATCTATTTCCAACAAGCCAAGGGAGGCTTTCTTCTTATGGAAAATAAGCATGAGTATTTTTCACATGCACTAATTCATATAAGCAGAAAGGATATGATATATTAACTATGAATGTTTTAATTTTATAAACCCATAGAAGCAATGTATCAGATATTAAACATACAAAATTTTACAATGCCTTATACATACTACTATTTCTCTGAGATAGTTCATAAATAAACTTTAATTAAACCAATAATAGAATGAAAAATCTGAAATAGCAACTGCCAAGTGAAAAACACTGTCACCTAACAATGCCAAGATTTAGTTCAATTATTATTTTAGGTTCTAAAATATGTTTAACAAACTGTTTTATGAAATAATTAATATTTTATTTTAATGGTCTTGGCACTGGACAATTACATTTAAAAATACATAGCTTCTGCATATGGTTTGGAATAGCGCTATGTACTGCACAGGAGTAAGGGGAAGTCTGCCCATTGCCACCACACTTGTATTATGAATGTCTTTCATTTCTCTGAAATAGGTCTTTTTTTAAAGGAGGCAAACAGGATCTAACGCTTGTTTGCTCTTTAAAGTTTTATTGTTTTAGCATTTTATACAGGGAGGGAGTATTGGCATACTCAGGAGAACTGCTGAAAGTAAAAGGCCTCCAGCTACCACCGCATGGCTGATAGGATAAAGCAGGGATATAAAAACTTCTGTCTGATTGCTCACTTTCCTTGTTTTAGAGAACTGGTACTCTCAAGAGCATATATTCATGTCCTTTCTACTTCAAGTTTTATTACTTCTTTTGTATTATTTAATACATCTAAAGACACTTCCAAAAGACAAATTTTTCCATTTTGGAAAAGTAATGGTTTGGAACCTGAAGAAACACATTAACATTCACAGTGCATTTTTTTTTTTCTTACAAAGGTGATAGAGTAAAAGTGCTACAAAGTAATTAGGCATATGATCTTAAAGACATTAATATGTCAAATAGAATACAATATTTAAAAAAATCAACAAAAATATCATGTAAAAGGTCAAATGATAATGGGCATGTGGAAATGCTGTATTTCTCTTGCAGATCTTTGACCAGATGTTTAATGCAAAAAAAAAAAAGAATAAAGTATAAAAAATGAGGGAAAGGACTAATCCTACCTCAATAACTTGAAGTTAAAAGTATATGATGTTAATCCTAGGAAGCATGGAATTAAGTTACAACTCATCATAACAACTGAATGGTGCACATAGTTCATTATTTAAGTTCCAATTGTTTCCCAAGGAAGTCTAAGTTCTACCAGGGTCAATACTTTCTAATAAACAAGAAACTGATATGCTTGACACTATTGAATAAGACCAAGCATTTTTAGAGTGTCATACACATTTCTGAAATCCACAATACATCAATTTTTAATACTTCTACTCTCTCAGCTCCATTAAAAAGATGGTAGGGGAAAGATTTTATAGTAATTAATGATATAGTTAGCTGCTAAATATTAATAGGAATCGTAGTCTTGCATAAAATATAACATATAAACCTTGCCAATACAGACGCACTAGTAATTAAAGTTGAATACGTAATTATACTGATTTATAAGACAGGCAAAAAGTTACACTTTACTAGCTTCTATGTAAACTGTGGGTAACAGTTAAACTTTGCATTTTACGGTTTATAAAAATGGGCAATGCATTGACTTCAGTTCATAAATGGTTTAGAGACCTGCAATAGTAGTAAAAATTATGACAACTTATTCCATCATGAATATTCCTATTACACCACACAAACCAAACTGTGATAATGACCCATAAGATGTAGAGCTGTCGTAGATACTGCTTTATGCCTGATAGAATGTTTGTACACTAAGCATTTATGGAGGACTTCTCCAACATAATTACAGGGCATTGCAGAGACTTTATAGAAGTATTAAAAATAATAAACACAAGTACAAGTTACTCTATTAAACTTGCATTATTTTTTGCTTATGCACAATTTAAAAAAGAAAATGCTAAATTTTAGAAGCATAAGAATATGTATTTTTTCCTCTAGAGAGTCTGCTAATCACACTTACATGTGTGGCTGAGGCGAGCAGCCTGGACTGCTGTTCCCATTGCTGTCGATGTGGTCCAGGGAACCATTGAGGTCTTCGTGGACAGCCTGTAGAAGGCCACTGGATGCATTATTGATCAGTCCAGGGTTACTTAGCAAAGGTAAACTGCTCTCTGCCAAGGCAGCCTAGTGGAATGGAGAAGGTGTAAGTCAACTTTTAAGATGCTCTGAAATAATTTTAAAAGCATATATCTTTTCTTAATGGCTCACATTGTGATACAGATATTTTAAAAGCGTTTAAGGAAAACAAGGAAAAAACAAAAATTTACAACTGGCCACTTGTGACAGAGATAGCAGGGTAATTAAGTGTGATATGAACATATAAACAATAGTTCCCACAGCAAACTTTCTCACTCACGTTTTAACCTTTCACAAAATGAAATGTTAAATCCTTACATGTCATGAAATAGTCCAGGATAATATAAGCAGTTGCTCTGCTTTTTAAAAATGACCAGAACTTAACTCAAAATAAAAAAGTCTTGACATTTGCCTCCTCTGCATAAAAATTATATATTATAATTAAACTTTAAAGTTTTTGCCACAAGCACCATGTTCCCCAACACTATGATGTGAAATCATTTATGACAGCCTGGATAAATATTAATGCATAGCCACATGCATTTGCAAAAGCTTCTATCAATCTAGCATTTGCAGCAAAACCGAGTGTTCCAGATTTTGCCACAGGGTGTCCTTCTTGCTTCTTCCCATCAAAAGTAGCTTGAATTAGAACCAGTGCTTTTCACTGTACTAGGTACTTCAACTTACTTGGGTGATAAACCAACTATTAAGAACAATCACAATCCTGCCAAAATGGCAAGTGTGCCCCTCCCAAACATTCAAATAGAACAACAAGGGAAAAGTGTATTTATTGATATTACCTGCAAGCTGGCATTAAGAGCTGCTCCATAGCCTAAGCTGGTAGGTATATTTTTTACTAAAGTTGGGCTTCTGGAAAAAAAGTATACAGATGATTTATAAATCAAGATAGAAAATAGGTGAGTATCAATAACCTCAGCTAAAAAGGTTCAGTCTATCTTATTTCACACCACTTGTCCAGAACAGAATTGAATGTGTCTAAGATCACAGAAATAAGATAATACAGTCCAAATATAAGATTCTCTACATACTACAAGTCAATTTGGTCCAGGAATGAAAGAAACTTTAGACTATGGTGTACAAGCAAAGTGGGACATGACCTTGAAGATCCTTAAACCTATTTATAGTTTTGTGAGCGTTTCAGTTCCAAGAACAACAATATTCACATAAACTGTTAAAAAATGTAACTATACAAAACAATTACCAGTTTGATATAATCAGGAAATAATTAATGGTTAATTTCTAGAACACCATGAATTAACATAACAAATTACCATAGTTAATTAAATGACAACATAATGGATTAACTGTTTCTTACAGGTAGAAATTAGAACATACTTGACTGCAGAAATCAAAATTCAAGAGTAGATAAAATACACAAAAGTCCTCACTTCACATAAGGCAGTAGTGTAATGGTTTGGGGGCGTGAGTGAATCCTACATTGAGTTAATTAGGCACACAAATATGAATTTGGCAGTTTTGCAATCTAGAAAAAAAATTCAAACTTCCCATACAGTAATTTTTTCATACTCTCATGTGTTGATCATCTCAACTCAGTATGTAGGAAACTATCATGGCTGGGAATAACACTGCATGTGCCCA